CAAGTAAGGAGTCCTGCTCCTTATCAAATATGCAACCTTTTCGTTCAGGGATTATCAGAAATAGCCACTTATACTTATTCCTTTCACGTGCATGCCTTTTGCTTGATTCTACCCGTCACCTGTGTACAATGTCCATGGACCCGGTTCATATATGTGTTCCTTTGTCAATCATCAAAACAAACTTATTTAGGCCAACAATATACAATTTCACTTTCTATACACTTACATGTAATTATTATTTAGGGTACTGATCTAAGAGTGTATAAATTATTTTACACTTTAAATATCGAGAAGTTCAATTCGTTAAAATATTATAATAATGGCCATATAATTGGAAGTATAATTTCATCTTAGGTGGGAGGACAAAGGAAGATTTCATTTTTCACGAGCTACTCAAAAATAAATTGTCTCCTTATCACGTGCATGCCCTAACTTATAATAAAAGCAATACATTTCTTTTCTAAAGAGGACCATAGAAACCTTTTTCTACTTTAGAAAAAGGGCACCTTAGCCCAAGTTGGAGTTTTGCAGCAGCTAGCTGTGGCCATTCTTTAAAAAAAAAGGCTCTTGGATCTAGTGAATAGAGTACTGATGCAATCCAATCTCTGTCCATTACTTATCACCTTTCCCTTTCACACACTGTCATGCATAGAAGAATTATAGATTCCAAATACCTCTCCTTTTCTTGCTTCCATGCTTGTACTCATTCATATATATAACCTTCCTTTCCTTTTCCTCTTAAGGCTTCTTTGTTTCTAGGGTTTCTTTTTAACTTGTCTGTAGTACAATTACACTTGACCAAGTTGACCAACTATACATTGTTGAATATAAATAAAAAAATGGAATCTTTAAATAATTAGTGGTTAGAATTTATTGTTTATTTTTTCTAATCTTTATATTTTAATCACTATATTATATATTCATCGGTCATTTTTAATTTAAGCGCTTTAGTAATTAGCGGTTATTTAGATTTATAAATTAAATAACCTAGTGCTACATATATATTTATTGTACAACCAATGATTTTCTCTTATTAACAGTGGTGTCTATGTACGTAAATTATGCTCAACTTGACCAGTTCATCAAATATTTATTATCTACCACTAATATAGGTATTGGGTAATGTGACTCTAGCTAATTCAGAAGCGGATGCAGTGTGGTAGTTATGAGTTCAATTGAATCCATAACTTTCGACGTTGAGTAAAAATTTATGTGTAAAAATTCATTAAAATTACAAAAATAATAGATTTGAACCTATAACTTTAAATATATAATTGGTTCAATATAATCTTAAAAGTTTAAATCCTGGAATATGTCGAGGCTTAAGTTAATGTAAAGAAAATACTAGTCATTTTTTTGTGGATATGCATGTTGTAGTCTTCCGGTTATTACCCACTTCGTTGAACGTTACACAAATTGATTTTCTTAATTAATTATCTGGTTTTGAATGAGAATCAATTAAACGATTGATCAAAAAGAGGGAAAAGAAGCCCAAAAAAGAAAACAGAAAAAAGAAAAAAACAAAAGATTGCAGGGCTACTAGGCTTTAACCCAGTGACTGGATAAACCAAACCAGGCAACTGATCAATCAACAGTGTTCTATCTCTAGTTTAACGGCAAAACGCTAATTTATAAATTATTGATAGTAGTTGACGAGCAAATAGGAAGTGTGTTTTATCGTGCATGCATTCGCAAAAGATGCCTTCCTATATGGCTACTACATACTACTCAATTATGCTACTATCAAGTTGGTTACTGGAGATCAGACTTGAGAACTTAGGTAGTAATATATATAATAAAGAATAATTAAGTTTTTTTGCAGGCAGTTTCAGAGATGGCAGATCATAAAATTCAACACCTATCCGTTTTGTACATTCTTAATTTCATCTTAAAGTTCGAATACTTGTTCAGAAGATTTGGTTATTACAAGTGTTTAAAATGTACTCACTTCCAAGATTATGTCTATCACATTCACCTGTACGAGAACAACTTTTGTTCGATTATGGTGAATAACACCCTAAAAGGTGAACACGGAGATGTGAGTTTACGTTGTTTTACAGTTTGCAAACCGAGTTTGATTATATGGGTATTAATTAGTACCGGAAATCATTTTGTACTAAAATTGTGGGATTAGCTATCCCATATAAAAGGTGAGATAGCTAATCTCAAAAGAATTGTGATTCAATTAGTGTAATATACAATCATAAATTTCTTTTTGAAAGGGTTTTAGTTTTGGTTAACTTATGTTCATAAAATCACAGACTAATTGGATATTACTGGAGAAGAATTACAACATAATGAAATATATGTTCTAAAGTTCCAGAAATCAACTTTCACTACATGCGTCTGGTCCCACTATATAACTTCTTTGTGGTCTCACAAACAATAAAGTCGAGAATCTAACTCAGACTCCTAAGTTCTTAATTAGTCGAATAAACTAGCAAGTATTACTAAGAAAATGATGGCAAATTTCAGAGAGCCAACTCTATATATCTATAACAGTAGAATATATAGTAAGAAAAATGAAGAATTAACCCAAGAATCCACAGTTTAGTACACAACCTTCCATTGTTCTATGAAGAAAGCTTTGCAGAACAACATTAAATAGATTTATCTAAGTATTTAGAAGAATTACCGCACGTTTTTCAGCCGTCCAAAAATTATAATTATACTAACTTTTACATCCATAGAAATTTAAATGACTAGTAAATATATTCTTATGGATAGCTTGCATCAAACACCAAAGAAAGAAATATAATTAGGCAATTGCTCAACTAATATAATCGTGCGTTATCCATCATCAACTAACTAATATTATTTGAGAAAAAGAAATGATAACAACCACGAACCCTTAATGATCTTAAGACTCCTACTAGCAAGCGTAGCATAATTTTGAGACAAGAAGTAACTATTTCCTGTTTGCGGAAAGAATAATGAGGAAATTTATAACTTTGTCTAAACCTTGGATATGAAAGAAGTTCGCTTAGTAACATTTGCATGCATGCATCAATAAAAGCTTCAAGTAGATGAAGCAGTAGAATTATTTGGTATTTGGTGATCAATAAGCTCTCACAATTTGACAATTATGCGATATTGGTCAGACTGAACACAGTGAATGAACTTCTTAATGTAGTGATATCCTATTTCTAAGAACTGATAATAATCAGAGAGAAAGTGTGAGATGTATAGCTCATATTTATCAGGTGATCAGTTCCAAATTCTAGTTAACACCACTTCCCTACTTACCTTAAAATTTTGCAAATTGCAGTTTTAATTCATTTATAATTAGAAAAGGGCTCGGGACACTTTAATTTCTAAGAAGAATGCAAAGTATAATGCTAAAGACAATTTCGATATGTATAACTAAATAATTAATCATATTCCAATGGTACCCATAATATAGAATTTATACCACTTTAATAACACCCGAGAAAAGAAATAAAAATCACCAAGAAACGAGGAAGGAATTAAAGAAAAGGAACCACAAAAAAACTGCAAATACAATACTCATTTACCACGCAGTGGTAATATAAACTGTGTTTAAGTAAAATATTATGTTCTGCAGAGAAAAGATATAAAACTTTATAAATGTATATAGTACTAGAGATAGAATGTCTTACTGTATTGCTGTACCTCTGATGTAGGAAACTAGCATAATCTTGTTTGCTCTATCCGGTACATGATCTTGTCTTTGAAATAATATTGTATTATGCAGAAACGTATAATTCCCGATATTAAGGCTCCAAACCCCTTAGTAGATACTAGAATTTCTTCTCCTGATCCAATCTTAGAATTAATTGTTGCCGCCTTCATGTGGTTGGCTATCATCCTCATCTTCTCTTGAATGAATCCATCTTGGATTGTCATTCAGACTGAAGGGTTTGATCAAGTTAAGAGTTGGCACTGATGGATTTGGAAGGACGTGTTGTGAACTTGAGCTTAAGAAATGGAAATGGTTCAACTGCGCCCTCGGATCACTTTCAATGGGATAATTGGTCATATAAGGAGATATCATAGGTGAAAATGTTGTAGCTGTTGGATTAAAGTATAATTGAGAACCTGAAGGCAAAGACAAGGATGATGCCAATGATAAAGGAAAATTGTTTTGGGACGATTCTTCTATTTGGGGTTGTCCAAAATGAGCTAAAGACAAGTTCGAATTAGGCTCCCATGGATAGTAGGAATTGAAAGGCATGCTGCTGTTTATCAGGCCTGGTAAATTAGGAGATTTATTGACTAATGGAAAGAAACTCTGAGCTGAAATTTGAGGAACATAACCTCCAATTTCTTCTTGGTTTTCTTGCTCATTTGAAGCAATAGACTTGTTTTTTCCATATACTGTGTCCGTATCAATTACCTTAGATTTTGCTCTCAAATTAGCTGCATCAAAATGATGATCGCCTTGGAACTGAGCGAAGTATCCTGGTGGTATCTGTAATGGTGGAAGCTTATCGATTTCATGTTTAGTGGCTTCAATTAACCAATCTACAACTTTGCTAGGTTGGCTGAGACCAAGTCTGTCTTGAAGATCATACAATTGAATTGCAGTGGGCACTGAAAGTCTAATTCTTCTATCTCTAAGACCCCTTATTGTGCAGACTTTACTGTGTCTATCTTTTCCACCAAAAGTACGCGAT